ACCTACATATTCAATTTTATTCTTCAAAAACTGTGACGTTTCAGTTGAATTCCAAGCCATACATCGATGCAGTTTCCAATACCATCTTTAGTTGTTCTAGCGCCTGTTCATCCGTCATTACCGGTATGATAAGGTCATCCATATAGGTAAGTACAACATTCCTTCTGATCAACTCCTTGAATACTTCATTAACATAGCGTTGGAATATTGAAGGATTGTTACACATACCGAATGGGCATCGTAGGAATTCGTACTGACCGTTTGGAACTACAATGAATGTGTACTTGCGGCTCTCTTCTTCAACAGACACGTGGAAGAATCCGTTTTTGAGATCGAGCGCAGTGAATATTTTAGCTCCAGTCAACTTATTTAATTGATCTTCCACTATTGGCAATGGGTAATGATTTCGTACCGTCTTTTTGTTTAATTCTCTAAAGTCGCCGCAGATTCGAATGTTTCCTGTTTTCTTCTTGACAAGAACGATAGGACTTGCATATTCCGATAAGCTTGGCCTCACGATGCCGTCTTCCGACCATTGTTTAATTTGCTTGTCAACTTCGTATTGTTTTGGCCGCGACAATCTTCGTGGACGTTGGCAAATCGGTTTGTCATCTTTAAGAATAATTTTCATATGAACTTTTGTCTCTTTTATAGCTGCTGGTTTATAATCATCGATCAGCTTGACGACATCCTTGAGATATTGTGAGCTGCCTATGTCCAGATTTAACTCATCGTCATTCAACGTTATGTAGCACAAAGGTCCCTTTTTTCTTCTTCTCTCTCCTCGCGCATCATCTCATTCGTCGTATTCAGTGTTACAAGTTTGAGAATATTTCGATCTACTATTTTCGTACTATTTTGTAGCAGAGGTTGACCTAGTATTACGTCATATTGAATAGCGTTGTTGGGAATGACGTGAACTTCTGTTTCAATCTTTACGTCATCAACATTTATATTGGCTTTATATCCGCCTATCATTTTGACTTCGTGTTGATCTAAGCCTGTTATTGGCATCTCTCTGGAGCTCAATGCTAGTTTTCCTAGTTCGTCGTACAGTAGTGTAATAAGGGGGATTCTAACCCAGATCCTCCGAGGGGGGGTGAGGCACAGGGGGATCCCGCGGTGCGGGGGGAGTCCGTGGAGAGGGGAGGGGGTGGCGTCACTAGGCGAGGGGGCTGACGTCACAGGGGAGGGGATGACGTCACAGTGGGTGACGTCACTAGGCGAGGGGGCTGACATCACGGGGAAGGGGGAAGGGATGACGTCACAGTGGGTGACGTCACTGAGTGAGGGGGCTGACGTCACGGGGAAAGGGAGGGGATGACGTCACAGTGGGTGACGTCACTGGGTGAGGAGTCTGACGTCACGAGAGGGGGAGGGGGATGACGGCACAGTGGATGACGTCACTGGGTGAGGGGTCTGACGTCACGAGAGGGGGGGATGACGTCACAGTGGGTGCATCACTGGGTGAGGGGTTGACGTCACGAGGAGAGGGATGACATCACGGGGGAAATTGACGACGTCACGGGGAGGATGATGACGTCACAAGGTGCGGAAAATTCTATCGCGGTCCCTTCGGCTACCTCCGGGCGTGGTCCGCAGCCGCCGAACGCGGTCCCCACTATACTTACCATGTATACTCACCGTGTATCTTACTATCTCTCTCGCTCTTATGCGGTATCTTCTTCTCATGCAGCAGTATTTTTTTCTCGCACGCAAAGATTTTTTATTTTAATTTTTTATTTTAATTATTTCACTTATTTATTTATTTATTTATTTCATTTTATTTTATTTCATTATTTTATTTTATAACTTTACATTTGCGCGTATCTATTATTTAGTAACAGCGCGATGTGTCCATATGGTCGCACGCGATGTAACGTGATACCGCGAAGAAGGAGGGAAAAAAGGAAAGATAAAATGTGAAGACGGAGATATACTTTTTAAGCAATTATATATTTACCATACTTACTGGTTTTACCATATATAGCTTCATATTTTCTCCCTTTGGACGCTTTTTTCCGCAACTACTCGCTCGCAAAGATCTAACGCAGATTCGCTTAATACGGGCGCGATGATACATAGTGCGACGCTGTCGAGTGTCGACGCGCGTAATACGATACGGCAGGAAGGAAAGTGGATGAGCGTAGAAAGGATGGAATGAATAATGATAAATACTGAGATATGTAGAATATTAATAAACATTTATTACTCATGTAACGCATGATATACAATATTATGTGAAGTATATAAAATCAATTCACATTCAATATGTGAGTTCTTATCATAAATCTTACGCAAGATATTTATAGCATTGCATTTGTTCATAGTACAACTTTGACGTAAATATGTAATGAAATATTTAAATTTATCGCTTACACTATTTGTACATTGACACAAATCGAAATATACATGCTCAACACATTGTTCCAGTTCAAACATGAAGAGCATGGTCGATGGTTTCATATATGAACACTTATCACACAAAGATAATTTCACAGTGTCCACATCACGTATTTTAACAAGTTCAATCACAAAGTCTTGAATCACTAATGACGATGGAGTAGTTGACTGCACCAATCGCTTGATATCAACCTTTTTTTCAACGAACGCCGTCCACGTAGCACGAGGCAGGACGATGCGGTTGCCTCGAGTGTCATCGATCGCAATTTCCACGTGAGACATCGGTCCCACGGCAATCCCGATCTCCAGAAACTTGTACGCTGTCGATGTCAGCGCGAACATCCTCCTCAAAATGCTACGTGCACTGCAAGGAACAACAAACGAATAAACAGTCAGTAGAAAACACTTTTACAGATATAAGTGATATACTTACTTGCACGATTCATGCTGAACACGAGACTCCATACTGATGATGTCGAAATCGTCTGAGTGACTGATACAGTAATATCGTTTCACCTCCTTTTTAATGTTCATACCCCACTACTCAACAATAGTTAAAAACGCAACATTGCAAATATACGGTTGCAGTTTAAGAATTTATGCAAAAGACATGCCAGATGAGATCATCATTGTAATTTGATACTACCTTAAAAGTGCAATGTTTGTGAAAACACGTCGCAACATGTTTCGCGATGACATGATCAATTTAACACCTGCAAAATGCATACCTTGCAACAAAAGATATTAGATACATCCGATGATGAAATCATCATCAATGTAATTTGATATCACAAAATGCAGCGGTTGCGAAAAAGATGCTCAATATGATGCAATTATACAACAACCATGTTAGATTTAGCGTAATGAAAGAATTTTTCAAGGACATTTAAAATGTTTCACGATGACATCATCATCATAAATAGAACAAAATGGTATAAAAATGTAAGGATTTAGGTGCATCGCGTCATTAGTCAATCTAACAGCAAAAGTGACAACATGAAGCGAGATTTGATTGAGCAAACTATCCTGCTAAATACAAGAAAAGAGTACGTCGCATGGGAACAGCGATGCGAAGAATTTATAGAATCTCTGGAAGAGCAGAGCCGTATTAAACGCCTGCGATTATCGACCGGTAATAAACAATCGGTGATCGCATGTATCGCGCGACTTAAAAGCTTGAAAGATTCGGTGCGCGGACGATTTGTGCACGTAGGCGCAGGATATGGACTTCGATGGCGCGAGATCGAAATGGCGTTCGAAAGCCGGATTCTAACAGGTGCGGTAATAAACTCTAATTATATCGAACCTCGCCGATTTCTCGAAGACGCGAGTGAAATTGTGCTCGAGAGTGTGCAGTGTGTTTTACAGAGATATGACTCTTTAAAAATAAACACAGTATTTAACAGTGAATTCGTGGTCGATGACAAACGCGCGAACAAGAGTATCGCCACGCGGAACCTTGAACTATATCAATGCACAGATTTGTGAATGGTACATGTCGCGCGTCGTCGAGCCAATTCTAGCATCGCTCGAAGAATTTCAAGAACATGACAGCGGGTGGGCATTGTCACGTATCCTCAATTTAATGATAAACGCGAATAAATTAAATCCTCTGCGCGCGAGATGTCATATTAAACTCCCGCGAGAAATTATGCTGAAAAAAGCGGTGATCAACGTGCGATCCACAGATAATGCGTGTTTCGCGTGGTCGGTGGTTGCAGCCCTGCATCCAGCCCAAAAACATGTGGACAGGGAATCATCGTATCCGCACTACTCATCGGTACTGAATCTCAAAGATATTCAGTTTCCGATGACGTTACATCAAATAAACAAATTTGAAACTCTCAACGACGTTTCCATCAATGTCTACGCCATCGAGAAGGGGATTGTGCCGATATGACTTCAGATGCCTCCACTACTTTAACTCGAGCGCAAAACTGGAGACCCACAGTGAGAATTGTGGGAAATTGAACGATTGTGCGATAAGACTACCGAGCGAGGACGACAAGTGATTGAGCTTCCGCAACCATGTTGAAGCAGGTGTAAAATTTGAACTGCTCACAGACATTGATATGATCATGTTTGTCGAGCGCGGAATACGCGGCGGTCTGAGTCAGTGCTCAAATAGGTACGCGGGAGCCAACAACAATACATGCCGTCGTATGATCCATTGAAACCGTCATCGTACTATGTGATTGATGTACTATGACGTCAACAACCTCTACGGCTGGGCAATGTGTCAACCACTGCCTTACGCCGATTTTCGATAGGTCGATGACGTGCACAATTTCAACTTTACGACCATCGCGTTAGATTCACCGACAAGCTATTCTCGAGGTGGACTTGGAGTACCCTCAACATCTTCACGACGCGCACACTGACCTACCGTTCTGTCCGACGCCACCAGTGCGGCCGGAGCTCAAATTGTGCGGCCAAAATTCGAAAAAAAAAAATTTCTAGTTGGGGTTTTTTCACCGTTGGGTTGGCCAAAGGGATCCCCTAAGAAACGAAAACCGATCACAGTAACGTTCCTTTGGCTAAATCCTCTCGTCAGTGTCAGTCGGAATGTGGCCTTCGTCCGAGCGCTGCACTATTGTAGTCGTACAGCTAACAGTAGACGCGTCTTAACGGTTGAATGAAAGTTGCGGAAGTAAACAAAATCAAGCAGGACAAAATGGAATCTTCAACTGAAGGTTAGTAAAATATGTGAAAAAATGTCTGGCAATTAATTATTAAATAGAAAATTGTTAGAAATAGAAATATAAATGAATTCTTTTTTGTATTATTATTAATAAAATTTGAATTGTTAGATGAAAAAGTAATAGATTGCTGTTTTAAAGTGTGTTGGAGATTGCTGTTTTAAAGTGTGTTGGAGGTAATTCATAAAAGTATTATCTACTAAATAAAACAAAATTCAGCTGCACCTAGCCGCAACTTGAGTTTTTATGAATTTTTTTCTAAAATGAATCGTTTCAAGAGTTATAATAATAAATGAAAGAAATATCCCTGGTAGATATTGTAAGCATTATTATTGGATTTTTTTCTTGGATTAAAACTAACTATTGGATAAATTGGGCAACAAAACTACATGAAAACAAAGCAACATAATCTGTATTAAATTGTCGACATTGCCGGCTTATGTACGGATGTACGGTGTATATAAGCCTGACCTGAACTTTCTCGTTTCGAAGTACACGAGTTCGAAGTAATCTGTATATAAACAACCTATACAAATATAGATAATATATGGTGTCCGAGATCCACGAAAACCTCTATCGTATACGTATAGAATGGAAATTTTTTGAATGTTTTTAAATTTATAAAATATACAAGCAATAAAATTGTTTAAAAACTGTACAAAAGTTTTTAAACAATTAATTAAAATATTAAACAATATTTTTCTAGTCATTTATACAAATTTTAGTAATAATTTTACAGTGCAATAAAAATATCTAGTCATTTTTATAAAATTTATGTTCAATTAAAATTTATATGTGAATATTTTTTCGAATATATAACATAATCTTAAAATTTTTATTTCTTATATTAATACAACTTAATCATTTTTAAACTGTACAAAAGTTGCCTAGTAAAACTGTTTAATAAATAAACGAAAAATTTTTATATTTAAATGAAAAAATGTCTAAAAAATGCTGTAATAATGCCCAATTCTTACTCATTACATAATATACATGTATAATATAATACATAAAGCAAAAGGAAGAGATAAAGAGATTTATTTATTTATTTATTTATTACTATACAGACAAAGATGGTCCTTTACATATAAGATTTATTTAATTTTTTTAAGCTAGAAATGTCATCTGATGTATTAAAATGTTTCCCATAACAATCATATTTAACAGTGCTATTTGTTTTTTAGGTTCCAATACTTCGACTGAAGGAGGATTCACGAGACTGCAATTGTTTCATGTTATAAAAAATATTTTTAAAGAAGATGTGACAAATATATATTCAAGAATTGAACAATTTTTTTCCGAAAAACGAGGTTCTGAATACATATTGTCAGATGACGAAAAAGGGAAAATAAAAGATTTGGTGTTCAAGATGAGAACAAGATGGAATGAATGTGCCAGGTCGGAACATAAATTTAAAAAAAAAATCATGATTGACTGCAGAAATCTGTTGAACTAGAAACAAAAATGAAAAGCAAAGATTCAGAAGAAAATTAATCTGATGAAAACAAGCCTAATTCCGGTCGGCCACAACTCAGTTTTTCAGAGTCTTCTGAACAAAATAAACGCAGAAAAACTGAAGAATTACAAGCGACAGTATCGACTGAAGCACTCCTTTATTCAGCAACGAGTAAATTGCGGTCCGAAGGAAAAACTGATTTCGCAAAAGTGGTGAAAGATATCTCAGAAGGGAATCCTACTAAAGCTACAAAGTATAGAAGATCTTTGGACTCCGTAAATACTAATTTACCGTTTACTAATGACGAAGCTTTTTCATTATTTATAGAACTGGGATTATCGCAAAGTAAATATCAGCAGCTACGAAATGTTCATTTGCAGAAAAAATAAAAGATGATTCCATCATATAAAAAACTACAAACAGCAAGATTAAAATGTTATCCAGCTGAAGGTCTTTCTATCACTGCAAATGAAGCAGAAGTAAAATTGCAGCATCTACTTAATCACACAATTGAACGCATTATACTTTATCAAATGGAAGTTATAAAAACTTTATCAGAGAAAAAACTCGAAAATTTAACTTTAATTGGTAAGTGGGGCTGCGATGGTAGTTCAGGACACAATGAATACAAACATAAGCTCGACGAAAACAGTAATAGTAATGAAAGTATTTTTTTTACGTCTTATGTCCCATTGCAACTTGTACACGTAGACTCTTTGACAAAGGAAAGTACTGTAGTCTGGAAAAATCCGAGACCATCATCGCCAAGATTTTGTCGGCCTATTAAAATTGAATGTGCAAAAGAATCAGTGGATTTAATAAAAAAAACAACTGATTATGTAGAAGAGCAAATAAATAATTTAAATCCGTTCGAAACTACTGTTGACGGAAAAAAAGTATGTGTTACATGTATTTTGACGTTGACAATGATAGATACCAAAGTATGCAATTCATTGTCAGATACAATGTCTGCGATGCGTTGTTATCTATGCAATTGCACATCTAAAAGTTTTAACGATATAGATAAAATGTTAAACCAGGAATTTATTACAGAGCACTTAAAATTCGGCCTATCGTCTTTACATTGTTGGATTCGGTGCTTTGAATTTTTATTACATTTGTCCTACAAATTAGACATCCAAAAATGGCAGGCTCGTTCAAATGAAGAAAAAGAATCGGTTGCAAGAATGAAAAGAAATATACAAGCAGCTTTTAAAACTGAATTGGGCTTGAATGTTGACAAGCCGAAAGCCAGCAGTGGAACTTCTAATGATGGGAATACTGCTCGATGTTTTTTCGAAAAATATGAACAATCTGCAAAAATAACTGGAATTGATCAAGATATTATACATCGATTTTATGTTATATTGCAAGCTATATCATGTGGTCATGATATTAATGTGGACAATTTTCGGCAGTATGCCGTGGAATTAGCTAAAAAAATCGTTGAATCATTTCATTGGTATTGCATGCCTACTTTAGTCCATAAACTTTTAATTCATGGCCCACAAATAATACAAAATTCAGTGTTACCTATCGGTCAAATGTCCGAAGATGCGCAGGAGGCCTGTAACAAATTTTTTAGAATATATCGCCTGCACTTTACTAGAAAAAATTATCGTCAAAGAACAATGGAGGATGTTTTTAAAAGATTTTTAGTAGCATCTGATCCGTACATTTCCAGTTACCGAAAGTTGCCGATTAAACCGCTCAAATCTTTGTCCGCAGAAACCATTAATTTATTATCACCTCCATCTTTATCTCTGGTTCATCTTGAATATATACATATTCAAGATGAACCAGAGATGGTTGAAAGTAGCTCGGCCTCTGAAGCAGGCACAGATGTAGATGACTGTTACGACAACGATCATGAAAACTTCTTATAATATAATTTTATATTAATAAACTCTTAATTTGTATGTCACTGTTTAATTACAATAAAAATGTTTGTATCATCATATTGCATTTTGAATTTTTTCATTTTTCATAAATTCGTAGTCACAGACCCTAATAACCACAAAACAATATGTTTTAGTACCAAATACCAAATTGCAGATCGTTTCTTTGACTTTTCGAATTTTGGCCGCAAAATCAGAGCTCCGGCCGCACTGTGCGCCCGTATTAAGCGAATCTGCGTTAGATCTTTGCGAGCGAATAGTTGCGGAAAGCGTCAAAACGGAGAAAATATGAAGCTGCATATGGTAAAACCAGTAAGTATGGTAAATATATAATCCTTTCTAAAAAAGGAGATGCAAGTCGATAGTCGAATATATTGAAATATTGTTGCCTCTTTTCGGCGATTGGTTCTTTCGCTGCGCTTACTTTGTGAGCAGCTGTCATCATCGCGGAGATCGCATGTGTTAGATGTATGTGGTTAATAGTTAATAGTTAATTGTAAAAATGAAAATTTTGTTACTATAGTAAATATTATAATTCATAATTCATAATTATAGTCTCTCGGTCTTTCCTGTTAACCTATACTAACCTTCGCTGGAGATTAGTAAGAAATTTTATGTTAAATAGAATTGTTTAAAAGTATTCAATATTTAAATTTTTCCGAAAAAAGCTATCGCATAGTCAGTATCAAAATAAACATATAAACATATATTTATAAGATATAAATTTATAAGATTAATAAGATATAAACAGATATTTAACACATATTAATCCTAACTTTTTTCCTTCCTCTCTGTTCTTCCTGTTTTATTATTT